TTGCATTGCTCAGTTTATTGAGAAGGATCCTAAGTTAGCTAGCGTTGTGATTAGGGGTTTGTTGGACTACTGGCCAATCACAAACAGCCAGAAGGTGGTTATGTTCTTGGGTGAGATTGAAGAAATTCTTGAAGTAATTACAATGGATGAGTTCCAAAAAGTAATGGTCCCGTTATTCTGGCGGATTGGATGCTGCATAAGCAGTTACCATTTTCAGGTAATAATTGCTTCAATATCTTCTTCCAGATCATACACGTCTGCTCACTATGAGTATATCTTTTAAGCTGTTTTTTTAATTAGCATACAAAAACATGAACCATTTGATGTAGTGGAATCTAAGAATTGGATCCATTGTAGGAATCCAGGAGCTCATTGGAGTTCTTTCATTACTCACTCCATCCCAAACAGAGTCATGTTTCAACTATTATTTTTGCTGATGTAAAAGCAACAAGAATCCCATATCATGAAAGAACTTTATTTTTTCATGTAACCTGCCAGAAAATGGTTTACAATATGATGACTTTAGTTTGAACCAGTCAACCAACAAATAAGCTCTAAAAATTTAATTACGAGTTGTATTTGTTTTAACACCTTGTTGAAATTAAAATGCTGTACCTTGACTAAACATGACTCTTCTTTTGGGACGTATGATGCATTAGTTTTTTTAAAGTAGGGGAGGGGGGGATTGGGTCACTGAATCATAAATAGTAAGATATGGATCAGTGTTATGTAAGTTAGATAGAAATGTGCAATTCACAAAGCAGGCTATGAACATATCCGAATGTGATTGAAACAATGTGTCGATATGATGAATTTATTTATTCTCTCCCTTATCCCTTCCTTTCCTGTCAGCTCATTAATTAAAGATAAAACTGTAGCTATCTCTTCAATAACTACTACATACTAAGGACTGTACAATGGTCTTTACCTGCTAATTTTTTTATTCTTGCAACTAAGTTGTGTTTTCCCCGGAGGATGTAAATAAACAGGTAGAACTCATTAGTTGTCTTACTTTCTCATGCTGTTGTCCTGCAGAACTATTTTACACAAAAAAAACCTTGATAGTTGTTAAATGTTAACTAGTCAACTCTGTAATCCTTGATGTTTTTTGAACTTGAAGAAATGAGATCGTTGATATCATGCAATTATATAATATCAATGACAGTAATGATTAAGAAAGAACAAGCTACTGGCTTACGGGATAAGCCCTAAGGGTGAAGAATTTTGAGGTTTTCTTTTGGTTATTGTAGCCATCCCACTGATTCAGTATTAAATTTTTGCTGTTGTCCTTGGGATTTTTTACCCAAAATGTTCTTAAAGTGTTAATAACTACTTAACTCTGTACTTCTAGATGCTCTTGGAACTCACTTAAATGAGATTCTTTATATAATGTAAATACGTAAGGCTGAGGATGTCATTATGCCATCATCTCTTGTGGTCAGAAAAGACTTGACCATCTCTTCTCTTACCTATCCTACTGGACAGATAGTTTTTCCTTTGACTCCCTGAAGTTCCTTTTCAATGACCTTTGGGCTAAGTTCGGAAAGGGAAAACATATATGCTAAGGGAAAATGTTTTTTATGTTCGGTTTTACCACGAAATATGTGAACCAAACTCAAATTTCATGACTTGTTAAAATTTAAATTTCTTAGTCTATATTTACTTTTTCTGTCCCACTAAACTTCATGTGTTCAATGTTATGCATTTTTGTACTTTATTTTTTAGTATCGACTTTTATCAAATTGGAATTTGTTTTTTTGCTTCGATAAAACTATTAATGTTGTTTCTAAATATGTGAATTTTAATTACTAATACTAATTTAAATAGTGTGGGCGAGGCTTTAGGATGTTTTTACTTGGACTGTAATATGATTTTCTGGTCTGGTCTGAACTGGTCTTGTCTGGTCTCTTTGTATTTTTATAACTATCCAAGTCTGGTCCGGTCTGAACTGATCTGGTCTGGGACGGATTACAGTCCAAGTAAAAACATCCTTAATTTATCATCAATCAAACTTCATAAAATTTAAATGACAAGGTTTTAAGGGATGGAGGTAGTATAATATAAATGTACATTTTTGCAGACCAAGGTAAGGACTCGCGGTGTATCTGAATGTAATAATGTAGCCTTTACTTTATATGTTACAGAGCAAGTAATAAGAGTAAAACTTATTTTTCTTGTGAATGTCATGAAATATGGTGAAACTTTTCAAAGTTCTGCATATATTTACTTTTTAATTATCTATCATAGAAATATATATAAGAGGTCGAGTATATATAAAAAAATTATTTATTGAGTTTTGAACCAGTTTTCTCCACATTTCCTTCCCTTCCAAATCTTCCTCACATTTTCCTTGCTACTTTCTTTCCCTCACATTTTTACGAGATCCAAACACACCCATACTGTGTTTTTGTGTGCGCGCAAACGACTTTGATACCTTCAAGGTTTGAAATTGCAACCTCTAGTTCCTTTTTAAAGAACTTGTGCTTTCTTGCTAGTCCTAACCAGCCAATACATGTAGGTAGCCGAAAGAGCTCTCTTCATGTGGAACAATGACCAAATCGTCACTCTAATTGCGCATAACCGGCACACCATTCTGCCCATCCTATTCCCAGCGCTGGAAAACAATTCTCGTTCCCACTGGAACCAAGCTGTCCAGAGTTTGACTCTAAACATAAGGAAGCTGTTTGTTGAAATGGATGACGAGTTATTCTGGGCTTGCCAATCCCAATACAAGGAACAACAGCAGAAGGTAGACTTGGCAGCTCTAAAGCGTAAAAAAGAATGGGAATGCCTTGAGAGTCAGGCCCAACTGTTGCCAATAGCAGGGAATACTGCTGTTTTAGTATCACCGTTAGCAACTAAATCGGGCTGTTAAAATGGGACCTTGGAAAGTTGGAACCAGTTTGTTTAAGGAGAAAAATGTCGCTGCTCATCTGGTCCCATGGGTTTTTGCATTGCCTGTCTGGATAGCATTGCTCATGTGTGTTGTAAGTTGTAATTTCTTTATAGTTGCCCTTTTGTTGTACTATTATGTACTATAAGCCTCCCCTAAAAATTTGAATGGGGAGTGACTTGAAGCGGTATGTAAAGTTCATAAACTAGCATCTCTCATCAGCCCTTTTTGAATAATAGTTATGTTTCAGCTAAGCTAGGCAGTGAAGTGTTCAGGGAATGTAATGGATTTTGTTGAAAATATCCTTATAAGTGAGAATATGAGAGTTGTATTTCCTTGCATTTCTCTATCCCTAGCCTCACCCATTATATTTTGCATCTTGCTATGGTTCAAGTCAATGCTGTTCAGAAGGAGATGCACCATGTCTATTCCATTATGATTCTATTCCCAAGTTCTACTATGGTACTACACTTTTAGTGCCCAGTTGGTGCCAGTGTGTCCTTTTAATCGAGTTTTAGTCCGACGGGCCCAGACTGCATTACACATCTGGAATTGTTTTGGCTCATGGGCAAGCCTGATGTGGGCCCAGACTGCTTTACACATCTGGTATAGTTTTTGGCCCATGGGCAAGCCCAGGGCCGGTCCTGAGAAAATGGAGGCCCTGTGCAATAACAAAATTTGGGCCTTTCTTTCTGACATAAATATTGATCGACAAACAGATGTTCTTAAAACATAGCTGCAGCAATTATAAATTTATTAAATATAAATAGCCTAATTAACTCATCAACTAATTACATTTAATTCTAAATAACAACTGAATTTTTAAATTTCATTATTTCATCAATTCATCACACATTATTACATTAGTAGAGTAGTAGTACTACTACTGAAAATTTTATTTTGGGCCCTCGATTTTTTTGGGCCCTGTGCGGTCGCACACCCTAAACTCCCTCTGGGCCGGCCCTGGGCAAGCCCAATGCCTCCCCTACAGTAATATTACTACTACAATATTTTTATCCATTGATTATATTTTGGTAATATTTATGAAAAAATCTCATTTTAAACCACTATAGTGACTGTCCATATTAGAATTTCTATATGATTTAATATGATTGAGAAGATATATTACTTAGAGCCCGTTTGGCAACCCTGTTTTTTGGCTTATCAGGCTTATCAACCAACTTTTTCACCAAACACGTCAGTTTTGCTTTCGTGCGCTGGATTGTGTAATAAGCAGAAAAAGTAAAGTTGGAGTTACTTTTCTAGCTGTATTAGCTGAAGTTACTGTAGATGACCATTTAAGCTATTTTTACATATAATTTTGTCTTTATTTTATTAATAAAATATATTTTAAAAATAATTTTGTCTTATATCAGTAGAATCAGCCAATGTAGCCACTTCAGCCAGAACTTCATAAATTTCAGCAGAATCAGCCAAAACAGCTGATTTTCATGCTACCAAACGGGCTCTTAATTCAACCTGAATAGCATACTCCATAGTACATATGGTTCAATTTATATAAGGTTCGGTCAAAGTGAACGGAAATGTCCGCACTAGTGTACGATAACTATTTGTGTTCAGAGCAAAAGTTTTTTCCTTAACAAAAACAAAAAAAATATAAACCGTCACTCAGAATAATATCACCTGTATGCAGCCGATGATTTTTGTTCTCATAGACAAAAAATCACACAAAATTTGATTATATATGAACAAAAAGCTTATCTGCGTGAACAAAAAGCTGGTTCAACATATATGTTTTACAACTTAGTTGTACAAAGAAAAACATTTTTCAGTATTGGGAAGGAAATAAATTTGAACTCTTGTGCCAGAATATACGGAGTAAGTATCTGCTGATTTGGTCTACCGAATCACTAAGAAATAGTGAATGTGCAAGCCAGCTAGCACATTTTTTATGTATTACTCCGTACATTATTTATAAATTATAATAACAATCATCTGAAATATGTTGCATCTGTATCAAAAAATAATATTGCATTCACAAATTAGTTACATGTATGATGTATTAACAGCATTCATAATACAATTACAAAGGAGTATGTAATTTTTTACACCAAGCATATTACTACGTATATCTTTTTTTTTTGAACCGGGACTCAACATCTTTCATTAATTCAACAAGTCATTCGCCACGTGGCTTACAATACAATCCGGAATAGAATCATAACTGCTACTATGATCTGAGATAGTAACATGCGTTCTTGCTAGAGCATGAGCCGCATGATTCGCAGATCGCTTACAAAAAGAGATAACATAATTACTCTTTGTCTGAACTAAACAGCGTATATCATCAAGAATCAGATCGATGTATGCCGCACCCTCACTACTTTGGACCCCTCGAGCTACTATTTGTGCATCAGTTTCTATTTCCACCCTATCCCATCCCTCTGAAATTCCTGCCAGGACAGCCTCCCGAAGACCCATTGCCTCCGATTCCGCCGGAGACCATTCCGCTTTGCATGATGCCCCTCCTGCTTTCACAAAATCACCCTGATCATCTCTTGCAATCCAGCCCCAAGCTCGCACTCCTCGTGTAATGTCAACCGCTGCATCAACATTGATCTTTATTACTCCTGCGCTCGGCCGCTTCCACCTCTGGTCGTCCCTCCTTGCCTGGCTCGATGACCTTGCTGCAGACTGTTGAGCCTCCCTCCATGCTAACAACATACTCGAACAGGAACTAATAACACTAGCCGAGCTCTGCCAATTTCCTTCCCAGACTAGAGCATTACGACGCTTCCACAAGCCCCAAACCAACATAGCAACTTTACACCGCTTCTCCTTATCCGGTACAGAGAGTAAGTTTTGAAGCCATACCTCCAACGTGACTTCACCATTACCAGTAGCTATGCCCGCCTCCATCCACACTTCAGCCGCTCTCGGACAGGATCGCAAAGCATGCTCCGACGTTTCTTCACCCTGCAAGCAAATTTTGCAGCTATTCTGGATTGGTACTCCTTTTCGTACAAGATTCACCAGTGAAGGGAGAGATCCATCTAAAACCTGCCAAAGAAAATATTTAATTTTTGGTGGGATTTTTAACTCCCATAAATCTTTCCAACCGTTCCATCCCCCAACTTCCCCTCCCTGCATAAGAACCCTATAGCAGCTCTTAACCGAGAAAATCCCATTATTCTCTTTACTCCACCAGAAGCCATCTTGTTTATCCTGCAAACTAATAGGAATACTTGAAATAATTTTTCTTTCTTCATTATTAAATATAGCTGCAATTCTTTTAGTATTCCACTTCTTCCCAGTACTATCTCTCAAGGCTGCGACATTCATATCAGCAATACCAGGCGGTTTGGCTGATTGGACCCTACCAACCCCGGGTCCAGGTAGCCAAGCATCCGCCCAAACTTGAACCTCTCTCCCGTTCCCAACTCTCCTTCGAATGTTCTCCTTTAGTACTCCTTGGGTCTCAAAAATGCTTCTCCAGATATAGGACGGGTTATTACCCAACTTGGCCTTTAAAAACTCCGAATTAGGAAAATACCTTGCTTTAAGAACCCGCGCCATCAAGCTCTCCGGATTTGAAAGAAGCCTCCATCCTTGCTTTGCCAGCATGGCAATGTTAAATTCCCTCAATTTTCTGAACCCCAGGCCTCCCATACCTTTCGGCTTACACATGAGCTCCCACCTGCGCCACCTGATACCTCTCTGTTCAAACTTAGTGCCTTTCCACCAGAACCCATTCATAAGTTTTTCGATTTCATCACATAAATCTCTGGGTAAAAGAAATACATTCATGGCATAAGTAGGCATAGCTTGCACCACATTCCGCAACAACACAGCCCTCCCTGCCCGAGATAAAAATCTATTATTCCAGCTTTTAATTCGATTAAAAATTCTCTCTCGAATGAAGCCAAGAATAGCTGATTTTCCTCTCCCAATAATGCTCGGTAACCCCAGATATTTCTGTTGCCCTACCTCCTGCGGCACTCCAAAAAAAGTACAACAATAATTTTTAGAGGTGTCAATAACGTTCTGGCTGAATGTTACCGTAGACTTGGAAAAATTAATCGCCTGCCCAGAAGTTTCCTCATACTCTTGCAAAATCTCCTTAACAGCATTACATTCATGACCTAAAGCTTTAAAGAACAAAAAGCTATCATCAGCAAAAAAAAAAATGAGAAACACGTGGGGACCCTCTACAGACCGCCACTCCGTGAATGTTTCCCCTCTGTTCCGCTTTTCTAATCAAAGCACTCAGCCCCTCAGCAACAAGAATAAATAGATAGGGGGATAGGGGGTCCCCCTGGCGCAAGCCCCTACCCGGATAGACAGGCCCCAAAAAATCACCGTCAAACTGGATGTAATAGTTGACCGTCCTGACACACTCCATTACCATATGCACCCAACAGGCGCAAAATCCCATTTTAATCAAAATTCCTTCCAAAAAATCCCAGTCCACTCTATCATATGCCTTACTCATGTCAAGTTTAAGGGCAATAAAACCCTCCTTTCCAGTATTTTTCCTCCTCAAAAAATGTTGAGTCTCGAAGGCAACAATGATGTTATCAATAATAGATCGTCCTGGTATAAAAGCACTCTGGCTTTCCCCAACTAAAGAGCTCAAAATACCCTTAATCCTGTTAGCTAACACTTTAGAAAAAATTTTATAAACCACATTGCACAACGCAATTGGTCTCCAGTCGCCCATGTCCTCCGGTTTCTCTTCTTTAGGAATGAGAACAATATTCGTAATATTAATGTTATCTGCCAACTTACCTGTCTCAAACATAGTGGCACATAAGGCTGAAATCTCCGGGCCCACAATATCCCAATATGCCTGAAAGAAAGCTGGATTCATGCCATCTGACCCCGGCGCCTTCTCCGGGTGCATGTCAAAAATTGCCGCCTTAACTTCCTCTGGACTAATAGGCCTAGTCAACATATTATTTTGTTCATTTGTAACTTGAACAAAATCTCCACGAATATCACTGGTGCTGGTTCTCCCCGGAGCCTGAAAAAGAGATAAAAATAATCCAAGACAGTTGCCCCCAGCTCACCCCTGTCCGTAATCCACGACCCATCCGCTTTCCGGATACCAGTCATTTTATTTCTCCTTCTTCTCTGTTTGACAGCATTATGGAAAAAACGAGAATTTATGTCCCCCTCTCGAAGCCAGAACTCTTTGGCTCGCTGCTTCCAAAAAAGATTTTCCTTCTCCAACAACACTTGTAGAGTAGCTCGGACTCTCAGGAATTCTAGAACACTAGCTCTATCCTCCTTCCCCCGCAACCATGTCAGCCTTTTTTTACACGCAATAATCTGCTGTCTAAACCCCCGCCTCCTTCCTCTGTCCCACCGTAACAATTCAGTCCCACAAAAACATAATTTTTCATTAATAGCCATATGGGCAGCCGCCCCCAGCTATTCGACACCACCACTCTACATTCTTCTTCATGAACCCAATTATTTTCAAACTTAAATCTCTTTTTTCTATTGTTTGGGTTTGATATTTTAACCTTCATATGCAGGGCCATATGATCACTTGTCGGGGCTTCCACCGACATTGCTTGAGCCTCCTGGAACATATCCCACCATGCATCATTCACCAAAATACGATCGAGTTTTTCCTCCACCCAATGCGACGTGCCCGTGCCTCTATCCCAGGTCCATTGATAGCCCGAAAATGGGAAGTCTCGTAGGCCACATCCGTAAACAGCCTCTCGAAAGCCCCGTATTCTCCAGGGAGGGTGAGGAATACGACCCTTCTTTTCCGAGTCAAAAAGGATGTCATTGAAATAACCGATCATCAGCCACGGATCATTATTTTCAGCTGCCAGCTCCTCCATCAAAGCCCATGCCTCTCTTCTCCGTCTAGTTTCAGGGAAAGCCATAATATCCTGTTAGCCGCCATGGGATATTATTCGCCTTGAGAATAACTCTGCAATCAATAAAATTCTGGCCATTCCTCATTATCTCCACTTCAACATCATCACTCCAGCCGAGTAGTAGACCTCCACTCTGCCCTTCGCTATCCACCCCGAACGAATCAGGAAAACCTTGATGCCGTATTATGTTTTTTGCTCGTTGGCAGCGTACTTTGGTCTCCATTAGAAAAACAATTGATGGTCTGTTGGCATTTATCAAATCGCTAAGGCATTGAATCGTGGCTGGATTATCCAAACCCCTGCAATTCCAGCTTGTAATGCTCATTCTTCCTCAATAGCCACCAACACAATCTACTCTACCAGACGCTTCGCCGGGCGTGCAACAATCCCAGGGGGGAACAGCAAGAACAGACCGAAAGCCACAGAGTCGAAATCGTCAACTAAAACCAGTCCCAGAGGAAAACAAACGATACTCGAGAAGACCAAGGTCACCACCGAACAAATGTCCTAAACCCAAAGAAAACTCACCGGACGGGCGAATCGATCTCGCCGCCGGGACTAACTGCTAGGAGAACCCTAGAGACGACCGCCTTGTGCGGTTTAAAGCTTTAAAATTTGGATTATTATTATTGGGGACGTGGTGTATGGAGAAAACCACTACGTATATCTTTAGAAAAACAATTTTCGCAAGAATTGACACCATTTATAAAGTATTTTCATCCAACAAACACCATGTACATCAAACAATTTTACACATAGCTACATCTAAATAGAAGAAAGGGTCAGTTGAGTGCGTCAATTTGTATTTGGTGGAGTAAAAAATACACTATCTTGCATTTGACATTCAGTACATGAACTCGGTTTTTAGTGTTAATCGAGTACACTCGTTAAATTAAAACGTTAATATGGTTGAGCCGTTGAGTTGGCTTACAAAATGTTGAGTGAGAAGAGGTACCACGGCTATGGTGTCGACCAAAAAGGGAAAGTCGACCAAAAAGGAAAGATCGACCTTCGGAGGTCAAGGGGAATCCAACCTCCTGGGGACTGGCGTCGACTAAGGGGAAGTTGATCAAGGGGTAAAGTTTATATCATTTCGGTTTATTTTGGGTAAAGTTTATACCTCGCTTGCACATTTTTGTAAAGTTTATTTTCATCTAAATACCGATGACGCTAGGAGTGGGTATATCGTTTCGGTTTAACGAAAATGAATTGTATCAAACTGGATTAAACCAAACTGAGAGTTTTGAGTTTCGTAGTATTGCTTCTAAACTATATTAAACTGGATCAAACTGAAATCGTGAAAAACGGAATAAAATTGTACTGAACTATAAAATTCAACAAAATCGTAATTATAAGAAAATAAAAAATATCAAACCCAAACTGAACCAAACCGGAACATAATATGATATTTATTTGGTGTTCATTCTTTTTATCCGTTTCAAACCGAATCGAATAAAAAACTGAGAAAACCCCAACCAAAATCGATATGAATATATGATACTTGGGGCACAGTATTCCATGATACTCTGGCACCAAAATATACGGGGGTGTCCTCAATTAGGAATCCATAGGATTTTAAAAGAGTTGTAGAACCCGGGTGTCCTCAACGTAGAATCAGCAGGAGTCTAGCAAAATCTGGTTGTCCTCAACATATCCATGGATTTTAATACACTTGGATTGCTAAGGATTTCCATGGATTTCAAATGTAAAATGTAAAGAAAGAATATCGTCCAAAATCTTTGCACTTTCCTTCGGATTTCAAAGGATTTCCCGTGGGAGTCACCAGGAACCCGTCGGCAACTGAAATCGGAAGTCGGGATGAGAGCTCGGACATCGTCTGCCTTCCATCCTTTCTATAACTGCCTTTCTTCCCTTCTATAACAGTCTCCCTTCACTTCTTCCACTTCCTTTCTTCCTTCGACAGCACAAATCTTGCGGCGGCAAAGCAAGATCGAGTGGAGCGGGTGAGCGGAGAAGCAGGCAAATAAGAGAATCTAATCCAGGCTGATATAGTTCAGTCTCTTAAAAGTCAATACGAAGCCGTTAAAGTCTGTTAGTTAGTTGAACTATATCATCGAGTAGCTAATACTGTATATATAGCGATTGAGCTAATTCTGCAAAGCATACTGTGAATAAATCATTCTTCTTGCATCTCTTCTATATTTCTCTATATTCTGCGATTTACAGTCTTGTATAGTCTCAAACTCTCTTCTACATTACTTGAGAATTCCTGAACTATATCAATATAGCAGTAGTTGATGGGCCACAGTTGAAATGTCAATATAGGTGTAAGAATCTGAACTGGAAGATGCAAAACATTCATTTCTCATCAGATGTGCTACTACTACCCCTTAAAGCTTATGACATGGTGTTAGGAGTACAATGGTTGTGTACTCTTGGAGATATTACTTGGAACTTTCAGGAACTGCATATGAAGTTCAACTATAAAAGAAAAAGAGTGGTGTTAAGAGGACAAAAACTTGGGAAACTTAAAGCAATAAGCGGGACAGACAGACAACTTCAGCAAGCTACTCAGTTGTATCTTATACAATGCCAACCAAGAGCACAACATGATGATGGGTTGGAAGAGGCAGATGATCTATTCAAACTAAAAATGGTAGAAGGAGCAACTCCAGAATGCTTGAATGATATCATTGGGAAATATGAAGTAATTTTCCAAGAACCTAAAGGGTTGCCTACAAACAGAGGTGGGTTTGATCATAGAATACCAATTAAAGAAGGAGCACAACATGTCAATATCAGGCCTTACAGATACCCTTTGAAACAGAAAGATATAATAGAACAAAAGGTTAAAGAATTGTTGAAAGAAGGTACAATTCAGCCTAGTTCTTCTCCATATGCTTCCCCTGTGGTATTAGTAAGTAAAAAGGATGGAGATTAGAGGATGTGTACAGATTATAGAGCTTTGAATAAACAAACTATTAAAGACAAGTTTCCAATTCCGGTGATAGATGAATTGATTGATGAATTGGCTGGGGCAAGAATATTTTCTAAATTGGATTTGAGGGCAGGTTATCATCAGTTAAGAGTATGCCCTGAAGATGTGTGCATAAAACATATTTCAAGACTCATTATGGCCATTTTGAGTTCTTGGTAATGCCTTTTGGCTTAACTAATGCACCTGCCACCTTTCAAAGCTTCATGAACCACATATTCAGGGAATGTTTGAGAAAATTTGTTCTCATATTCTTTGATGGCATACTTATATACAGTCTGGATTTAGAAGCCCACAAGTTACATTTGCAGCAGGTGTTTGAAGTCTTGAAGCAACATCAGTTATTTGCTAAGAGAAGCAAATGTAATTTTGGTATGGAAAAGGT